ATAGATGTCAGCCTACCAGGCTCCTCCGTCCCTGGGATTCCCCAGGCAAGAACACTGGAGTGAGTTGCCATTTCCTTCTCCAATGCATGAAAGTGAAAAGTGAAAGTGAAGTTGCTCACTTGTGTCCGACTCTTAGTGACCCCATGGACCACAGCCTACCAGGCTCCACCATCTATGGGATTTTCCAGGCAAGAGTACTGGACTGGGGTGCCATTGCCCCACTAGAGTGGGGTGCATATGCTTAGCATATGCAGAGACAGGCAATTTTAGTCTTGACCTTCACTGAGTTGACAAGTTCAACTCCCTTTTAGGCCACTTGACCTTGGGCAAAATAATGAACTTATATAACCTCAGTGTCCATCTGTATAGGATGGAGGGAAAATAGCTCCTTCCTCATGAGTTGTATGAATCAGGCAAGATAATGTATGTGAGTCCTTTTGCACAGTGAGTTCAGTTCAGTTGCTCAGTTGTGTCTGACTCTTTGAGACCCCTTGGACTGCAGCACACCAGGCTTCCCTGTCCATTACCAACTCCCAGAGCTTACTCAAACTCATGTCCATCAAGTCAGTGATGCCATCCAATCATCTCACCCTCTGTCGTCCCCTTCTCCTCCCTCCTTCAATTTTTCCTAGCATCAGGGTCTTTTCAAATGAGTTAGCTCTTCGCATCAGGTGGCCAAAGTATTGGAGTTTCAGCTTCTGCATCAGTCCTTCCAATGATTATTCAGGACTGATTTCCTTTAGGATGGACTGGTTGGATCTCCTTGCAGTCCAAGGGACTCTCAAGAGTCTTCTCTAACACCACAGTTTAAAAGCATCAATTCTTTGGCACTCAGCTTTCTTTATAGTCCAACTCTCACATCCATACATGACTACCTGCCACATAGTAAGGGATTAATAAATATTATTAACAGTATTAATAGTAGCAGCAGCAGCATTAAGCATCTATCTACTCTGTGCTAGAGACCAGGTTAGGTGATGGGAATATAGTTCTTTCACTTAACATATATATTGAATAAGTGGATTGTATATATCTAAAGGCTTTACTTATATCATTTTTCATACAGAATAAAACAAAGATTCTTGACCATGTGGTGCTTACATTCTAGTGAAGAGACAGATAATCAAGAGTGAAAAAGGCAGTTATTGTTCTCAAAGATATACACTAATGAGCAAGCCCAACACTAGGGGAAGACTGATGGCCATAACCACATGGGCCGTCAAGCAGGGTCACCTAACCTAGTTTTGGAGGATCAGGGATGGCTTGCTGGAGGATATGTGGGTGTTGGATCAGATCAGAGTCCTGTATCCTCCTGTGGTAGGTGTAATAACGGCCCCTAAATGGATCCACATCCTAATCCCAGGAATTTGTGAATGTGTTATGTTATATGGCAAGGGAGAATGAAGTTTGTAGATAGAATTAAGTTTGCTAATCAGCTGATCTTAAGATGGAGGGATTATCCAGGTGGACCCAGTGTAATCCCAAGTGTCCTGAGGAAGGCAAGAGGATCAGAGTCAGAGTGATGAGATGGGAGAAAGACTCAGTGGGCCGTTCCTGGCTTTGAAGATGGAGGAAAAAGCCATAAGTCAAGGAATGCAAGCAGCCTCTAAAAACTACAAAAGCCTAGAAAGCACATTCTCTCCTGGAGCCTCCAGAAAGGAACACAGCCCTGCTGACCCTTGCTTATAGTTCAGTGAGACCCATTTGTTTAGCATGGATGAGGTCACCTTAAGAACTGTAGACACATTTACCAGAGAAATGGAAATTCTTCTGCAGAGGAACAATTTCGGGTTATCTAGGGAGCACAGAGTCAAGCCTTCAGTAGTGACAGGTACTGTCCTGTTGACAAATTCAATTGACTATCAAGTTAAGGGTGGGGGAAGGGGGATTTTATTCAAATGTAACCCAGGAAGCAGATTCTTAGAAAGGATTGAGGATTGTAACTCAGGAAGCAGATTCTTAGAGAGCTCTGAGAACTATTCCACCTGTTAGAAGCAGAAGGCACAGTCTTATACAATTTCAAGACAAAGGATCGTACGTCAAAATGACATACTGATATTTTACATAAAATTCACCAAGGACACATGGTCCAGATAGACACAAGCAAAGTAATCATCAGCAAATCATCATGACCCCCTACAGAGCTTGGAAAGAACTGTTCTTTTAAGAAGTTATGTTGCTAGCTGTCAGAAGAAAGAAAAAAAAAACAAAACCAATCTGTACTGTAGAGCAGGCCCACCTTTGAGGAGCTCTTGTGTTAATGTATAACGCAGATGACACTGCACCTGGTGAGGGAGGGAGAGGTCCAAACAAACACAGAGAATTTGACGTTCAGTTTTTTCTTGTCCTGCCTTAAACTGTAAGTTTTGTTTCGTCAGTCCTCGATCAGGGGCTTAGTGTGTAGCAGCGTCAGCGATGTGCTTTCATCCTTCTCTCTTGATGCCTGCTCTCACTACCTGTGGTGTCAGGATCTCATCAGAATATTTTGGGGTTTTAACAGTGGATGCAAATCCTGTGGTTTTTTCCCTCTGTAGTGCTGCTGACTTGGTTCTTATCTTGAGCCAACTCTCTAGACTCTCTGTGGGCCAGATTGGCCTGGCTTAGTTTATTCAACCAATATGTCCAAGAGTTAATAGCTAGTTCCACGGACAGGTTATAAAAGCATAGAATTTCCCGGGGAAAGTTTGCTGAGGGCAGAACAGCAGGATGCAAGAGGAAAAGTCAACAATGGGTCTGATCATTCGTCACCAAATGTGCACCTGTGCCAGGCTGGTTGCTTGAGGCTGATGCTCATCCCAGGGGGTAGACGGCGGGGCCGGGCTGCCCTCTGTCCTAACACCTAACACCTAGCCTGGTGGATAAGTGCACAACAGGCAAAGTTGTAAGACTGGAGTACAAAGACTGATGGTAACAGTAACTGCAAGGGGAAGTGAAGAAGACCCAGGGTTTGGAGCTGAGTTAAGTTACCTGGGGAAACAGCGTAAGCGAAAGCAGGAAATCAAGTGATGGGAACATGATCAGAAGACAGCAGGCAGGGTGGTGGGGCCTCTGTGGGGTGAGATCACAGTTGGGATGAGTTGAAAACCTGGCAGAAGCATTTGGATTTTACACTCTGGTGCATAGAGATGCACTGAGACTTTGCTTTTTTAAAAAATAAAACCCACCACTTTATCAAAGTATAGTTTACATACCATAATATTCAACCATCTTAAGTGTGCAATTCAATGATTTCTAGTAAATTTACCAAATTATGCAACCATCACCCAGTTTTAGAATATCCTCATTCCTCCATCAAGGTCCCTCATGCCCACTTACAGTGAATCTCTGCTCCCACTCCCAGCCCTGGCAGTCACTATTTTACTTTTCCTCTGTAGGTTTACTTTTGCAGAGCATTTAATGTAAATGGAATCATAACAATAAGTGGGTTTTCTGTGTTGGCTGCTTTCAGTTAGCATAATGTTTTTGAAGTCCATCCATGTTGTAGCATGTATATTAATATTTCATTTTTATTGCTGAATAGTGTATAATTGTATCGATGTACCTACCACATTCTATTTATCCACCAGTTGATGGACCTTTGAGTAGTTTCCACTTTCATGATCATTATGAATAAGGCTGCTATGAATATTCTTGTGTACAAGCCTTTGTTGTATTGAGTAGGTATCCAGGATTGGAATTGTTGTATTGTATGGTAAATTTATAGTTAACTTTTGGGGAACTGTACTTAACTACTTTGTTTCTTTTTTAAAAGCAGCTTTATTGAGACACAATTTGTATATCATAAAATTCATCTACTTCCTGTTTACAATTCTGTGCATTTTAGTTTATTTACAGAGCTGTACGTTCCCCACAATCTAATTTGAGAACACTTCTATCACCAGAAGAAACCTTGTGCCCATTTATAATCACTCTCTATTTTCACTCCTAGCCCTAGCCAACCTCTAGTTTACTTTCAGTCTCTATATGTTTGTCTTTTCTAAACACCTCATATGAATTGAATCATATAATATGTGATCTTTTGTGTCTTCTTTCACTAAACATAATATTTTTAAGGTTCGTCCATCTTGTATAATGTATCAGTACTTCATTCCTTTTCATTGTCAAATGATATTCCATTGTAAGGATATGCCATATTTTGTTTGTTCATTCATTAGTTAATGGATATTTGGATTGTTTCTACTTTCCTATCATGAATAATACTGCTTTGAACATTCACATACTAGTTTTTGTGTGGATATATGTTTTTATTTCTTTTGAGTAGATAAACTAGGAGGGGAATTGCTGGGTTGTGTAGTTAAGTATATATTTAAACCTTTAAGAAACTGCAAACTGTTTTCGAAAGTGGCTGCACCGTTTATGTTCCTGTTGGCAATGTATGAAGGTTCTAGTTTCTCCTTGTTCTCAACAACACTTGTTATTATGTCTTTTTTTATTATAGCCACTAGATGTGGGTGTAATGTGATATCTCGTTGTGATTTTAAGTTGCATTTCCTTAATGACCAATAATGTTGAACATCTTTAATGTGTTCATTAGTCATTCATGTATTTACTTTAGTAAAATATCTATTCAGATCTTTTGCCCACTTTTAAATTGGGTTAGTTTTATTACTGGGTTGTAAGAATTCTGATTTATTCTGGATATATTGTCAGATACATGATTGGCAACTGTTTTCTCCCAAAATGTGGCTCACTTTTTCATTTTGTCATTGGTATTTGTTGAAAGATTTTTGAGGGAAAAAGGGACAAGACACAGCTGTGCTTCAGAAAGATAAGATGTAGAATGGATCAAAAGGACAAGTGCTCTATTTTAATACCCTTCTCTGTATTGTAATACAGGGAAGAAGGACAGGCCAAGCTTCTCAAAATTCTCTGGGAATCAAAGGGTTATAAGCAGCTATTTATTGAAGCCTGTTTACAGTCCAGTTAATCAGTAAACCAGAATCAGTGAAAACAACCCAATCTGGGGAACTGCAAAAAACTTTCAAAAGGTTTTCATGGATTAGGAGAGGCAGAGAAATGGGGGGAGGGGAGATGAGTGCCTATTCCAGAGCTACACAAATCATTTCTGGCTTTGGACGGACAATTCTGAACTTTCTTCCCAGGTGCTGTCACACTGGTGTTTACTAGCGGGAAACAAGAAGAGCTGGTTATTGGCCCTTGGATTTTGACTGGTTATTGGGAGAAGCAGGGCCTATTTTAGTTTCTGAAAAAGCCTAGCAAGATGTCAGACCTGGTTTCAATCTTCCTCCACCTCCTTCTCTTCAAGATGGTTGCCCCGGTGACCTTTCACCATCACCGCTATGATGACCTCGTGCGGATGCTGTATAAGGTGCACAATGAATGTCCCCACATCACTCGGGTTTACAGCATTGGGCGCAGCGTGAAGGGGAGACACCTCTACGTGCTGGAATTCAGCGACTACCCCGGAATCCACGAACCCTGTAAGCCCTGAGCATGTGTCTTAAAGTGTGTGGCGGCAGGACCCTTGCCTTCCAAATCCAGTAACTGGGGTGGTTTCTGCGAAGGTCCATGGACCCTCTAGCTGTGAAGTATCACCACTTCCCCAGTCTGTGCTAAGTATTTCCTTACTTAGTCGTCAAACTGGCCCAGCCTCTGGAGAGCTGCAACCCCAATTCAAGCTCCTGTCTGCTGCCCCTGTTTGGGTTCTGTTTGCTCAAGACCTTAGTGGTAAAAGAGTGAGTCTTCTTCCCTGCTCCCTTCCCATCCCCCCTGCACTCCCCTTCCCTCCCTTCTTCCTTGCTTGCTATTTCTGTCCTGCCTTTCCCTATCCAATGCCTCTGGGGAAACAATTAGCTCTTCTGGTTCTGCCGGGAAACTTAGAAGAGTTTAGGGATAGCTCTTTGTGGAATGACAGTGTAATCAGAGTCTGGGATCCTGGAGAGAATCTGAGGTCTGGGTTGTTCATTTTATTCATTGCATTATTTATTACTTGTTACTATTATAAAAGCAATCCATGTTTGGATTAAAATAGAAATTAGATAAGGAAAAACCCTTATCCATAATCTCACCACTCAGAGATGACCATTGTTAACATATTGATGTATCTCCTTGCAGACTTTCTTCTTTGCATTTTTTAAATAAAGATGGAATCATACTATATCTGCTTTTCTCACATCCTAGTCTTTGATGAACAGCATACATGTCTGGAAATGTAGATCTGCATTATCATTTTCAGCTGCATAATATTCCATGGTTGTATGGTTGTACTTAACAGTTCATTTATTGATAGGCATTTAAGTTGTCTCTAATTTCTCAGTACTTTTGCTGCTTTACCTACCAGCAATTGTGACATGCAAATACATCATTTCCTTTTTCAAACTGTTAACCTCAAGTCTCTTTTCCTCTCCACTTCCACACCCCACACCCTAGCCCATATTACATTACAACCTGCCTAAGTGATTGCGCTGGGCTCCCAACTGTTCTCCTAACTCCTAACAGCCACCACTCTCTCATCCCTGCATTTAAGACACAGATGCCAGATGCCCAAATTACTGACATAATCACCTCACTCCCTTGCTTAAAAACCTTCAGTGGCAATCTTACACCCATGGGTGGCACCCAACACCCATTGGGTGGCAATCTTACAATCCATGACAGCTTCAGAATATTATGTGGTCAGTGGAGGGAGGTGTGTGAGGGGTGGGGAGCCTGGCTCAAGGAAGGCTTTGTGATTAGCTGATGACCAGGGCCTTGCTTTGAAGATGCACTTGCATAGCAAACACCCTTCTTTTACTCAGGTTGCATGTTTATTTCAGAAGCTTGTGGATGCTAATGAGCATTGTAGGCTTAGCCCTTCATTCTGTGCCCCTTTCTTAAGCTCCTCCTATTTCTAGCATTCGAGGCCTTTCCTGAACCTTTTTATACTATTCTATCTCACTGATCCCTCTTTTCTCTGATGCCCTGTCAGCTGTCCATCCATTCATTCCTTTCATCCATTCTTTAATTAATCCACAAATATTACTGATTACCTACTCAGTGCAAGCATTTTGGTAGACTCTGAATATAGCACAGAGAATAAAACGAAGACTCTGCTCCCAGGGTCTTAATTCTAGCAGGATAAGACTGGCAATAAATAGGTAACTAAATAAATGTAATTATATCAGCTGAAATAAGTGCTATTGAGAAAAAGAAACCAGGAAGGAGAGATGGAGAGTCATGGAGGATGGTGGATTGAGTAGGGCAGGGGTGTTGCTTTCTAGGAAATCTTTTCTTTTGAGGTGATTTTTTAGCATATGATGGAGGTGCCATACTGATATCAGGGATGAAAGTGCTACACGGAGGGAGGAGCAGGAGTGTGCTTGGCATGTGTGAGGGACAGCAAGGAGGCCCCTGTGGCCCCAGCAGAGAGAACCACGGAAAGTCAGTGCAGAGTTGGCAGGGCTCAGGGGGCAGGAGGAGATCACGTAAGGCCTTACAGGACTGTTCAAAAATTCTGGCTTTTGCTCTGAGTGAAGTGAGAAGCCTTTGGAGAGTTTTAAGCAGAGGAGTGAGATGACCTGACTAAAATTTTTGAAAGATCACTCAGAACAAGGGTCGGCAAACTAGAGTCCTGAGGGCCAGCTACCTGTTTTGGTAAATAAAATTTCACTGAAATACAGTCACACCCATTTGTTTCTGTATTGCCCATGTCTGCTTTCACTGGAAGCATTGAGTAGCTGCAGTGAAGACAGTGTAGCCCTGGAAGCCCAAAGGATTTCCTGTCTGGTCCTTTACAGGGAAATTTTGCCAACCACTGACTCGAGAATAGAGTTGCATGGCGAGGCTGATACAGGGAGTTCAAGTAGGATATTTATTGTAATAATCCAGGTAGGCAGGTGTCAGGGCTTGTACCAAAACGATGGCAGTGATTGTTAGGAGAAATGGTTGCATTCTGGATATATGGAGAGTAGAGACAAAAGAATTTTATATTGAGCACCTACTCAGTGCAGGGCACTATGCTAGGTTCTACAGGGCAGTGGTTCCCAAACTTTTGGATTTCACAGAAGTTAAAAATATATATGTATTATATATAATACATATATATAAAATATATATATATATAATGTTTTTTAAATAAGATTGGAGGGGACTAAAATAGATTTTCCAAATTTTATTTTAATGAACAAGGATGTTGAAAAATACTACCTGCCATCTGCTATCACCATCCTAAAATAAGTAATAACACCAAGAAGTGCCTCTCTTGTGTTCAGCTGGTAAAGAATCCACCTGCAATTCAGGAGACCTGGGTTTGATCCCTGGGTTGGGGAGATCTCCTGCAGAAGGGAAAGACTACCCACTCCAGTATTATGGCCTAGAGAATTCCATGGACTGTATAGTCCATGGGGTCGCAAAGAGTCAGACATGACTGAGTGACTTTCACTTTCTAACACCAAGAAAAGCAGGAAAGACATGATAAGAGCAAAGAAATACACTAAGATTAAAGAATGCACTTGATAGAAAATCCACTACACAATCCGTAGGGGTTATAGACATTCCTTTGGGAAAGACTGCTCTAGCTTTACTAAGATAAATAGCAATGGATTGTGTCCTAAAGAAAATTTAAAATGGCATATATTGCAAGGGCCAGGTCCAGTAAAGAAAATAGGACGTGTGCAAAATTAAAGTAGAAGTTCAGAGTAGAAAGTGGTAAATATAATAAAAGAGAAGTTTAATAGTGAATTCACTCCCAGCAAGGAGAATCGAAGTTGGTTTCATGGAATAAGGCGCATTTGAGCCTAGAAGGACAGTGAGGAGGATGTGGAAATGTGGAGATGAAGAGGCACAGAATCAGAAAAGGCATGGAGGCAGGAGTGTGTTAGGTAGAAGGGAAATCATTGGCTAGAGTTTTTCTCCTTCCTTCCTTTTAAAAGTGGGGCAAGAATGATTTTCTTTAAGTGATTCTAGAGGCTCTTTTAATTACCACAATTCTTACTTCAGTTGCACAGTTAAGATAGCCAAAGAAAAGACTAAGGAATGAGACAAACATAGACTCCTTCCTACTCTGTGCCTCAAGACACAGCATTCTCAGATGTGAATGGGAAATTTTAGTTTCCTGAGTACCAGGAAAATTATTTTTTTAACTGGTACAATTAGGAACTGTTATGCTATAACCTAGAGGAGTCTAGGCTAGCACATCTTGGAAAAGCACCATCCTTGAAAAAGTTGGTCTCTGAGAAGCTTTAAGCTACCTCTGGGCTTTGACCTCCATTGTTAATCAGCCAGGTGACCTCAGACAAGTTACTTAACCTCTTCCATACTCCATACCCTCATCCTGAAGCTAATAATGCCGACTTTACAGATTTTCTGTGAAGATTAGCAATAACATAAATGCCTAGTGCACAGTAGAGTTTTAACAAATAGTAGACATTATTATCGCTGGCATGAACTGTTGTAGCATTTGTAGTTACAGTTTATTCAAAGGGGGCTCGGGGGTTATTGGCAAAGACCTAACAGAAGCAAGAGGTTTTCTTTTATTCATTACTGAAAAAGAAGGAAAGTGTCCCTTGGCACGGTTAGGAATCAGCAGCACTCACTAGCTTTCCCCATCTTCTTCCTGCGTGTGTTTCACTTGCAGTGGAACCAGAAGTCAAGTACGTGGGGAATATGCACGGCAATGAGGTGCTAGGCCGTGAGCTGCTGCTGCAGCTGTCGGAGTTCCTGTGTGAGGAGTTCCGCAACAGGAACCAGCGCATCGTCCGGCTGGTGGAGGACACGCGCATCCACATCATGCCGTCCATGAACCCTGACGGCTACGAGGTGGCCGCTGCTGCCCAGGTACCGACCTCCAGGGGGAGGCCCTGCAGAGAGCAGAGCCAGCTTAAGGGTGTAAGGAAAAGCTGGGGGAGCAGGCATCCTCTCTGTCCCACTGTAAATGCCATGGTATGACAAAGAAAAAGCTGGAGAAATAGAATGAAGTTTGAAGATAGGTTCAGCCCTGTAGCACCCTAGGCAATGAATGTGGCTTTTCTCTGAGCCTGGATTCCCTCTCTGCCTTTCCAGCTCAGCTCTCTGTTTCATTGCGAGGATCAGTGAAGCAATATCAGTGACAACACTTTGTCAACTGGAAAATACTAAAGAGGTATGAAAGAATATTGCAAAACAGCCCTCCTTCCTGGCACTTTATGCTTCAAATCCTAAGTATTCTTCTCCCTCCCACACTACATTTCAATTTGTATTTGGGGGGAGAGAAGAAAAATTTCTCCGAAATTGTGTGTGTGGCAGGTTAGTTTTTCACATTTTAATAAATAATAAATTTAATAAATAATAAATTATAAATTATATATAAATAATAATAATAAATAATAAATTATTTGCATTTATTTACATTTCTGTATGGCTTTTTCCTCTATTAGTATAGTACTGAGCCTTTGAATTCTTTATTTTAGGGTCACATTGGTCAGGGGACAGACCAAAACAAATGTTTATGGGCTTTTCTTTATTTCCTAACATAAACTCAAAATATTATTGTGCCTAACTTTAAATCAGTGATTCTTTTGTGGCTGTGCATCAGAATTGAGGATAAAGATATTCGAAATATGATTCCCAGGTCCTACCCCCACCCCCAAATCTACTGAATTAGAATATGTTCCTTTAAAAGCTATGTTTAAATCTGGCTTTTTGGGAGGAGGGGGTTGGGGGGGGGAATAAATTAAAGAGGTTTTTTTTTTCATTTAAAAATATGTTTGTTTGGGGGTAGTCTTGAAATGTTTTTAAGACTAGACTTCACTGCTTTACTTTTTTACAAATTTTGTTTTATTCTGACAAGAACTATTCAAGGTGAAATCTACCCCCTTAACAAAGTCTTAAGTGTATAATACAGCATTGCTGATTATAGGTAAAGTGTTGTATACCTGATCTCCAGAACTTATCTATCCTGTTCAACGAAAAAAATATGACCCTTCATTAGTAACTTCCCATTTCCCCCTCTTCCCAGCCCCTGACAACTACCTTCTACTCTCTGACTGCATGAATCTGACTGCTCTGTCCTGTACAAGTGGAACCACTCAGCATCTCTTCTTTAATGACCCATCCTGGTTTAAACCTACTTGAGGACAGGGCCAAGGGGTGAATAGCAACAGGGAGGGGAATGCAGCCAAATGTTGAACCCAACCCAAATTTCACCTTTGTAATCTTACAACCTCCTGCTGACATGACTCAACAAATGAAAAAAGCAGAACAACAACAACAAAGCATAACAAAAAAAAATGTCATCTTCCCCTCTGGACATCAGAGAGGTAGACACTAATGTGCCTGAAGACTTAAGTTTCAAAAAAGCAGGACAATTTGAGAGTGGTGTGGGGGAGAACCCAGCCTGGCTGCTTTCCTCCTAGTAGCCCTTTGTTGTACAACAGTAGGAAGACAAGGAGAAGCACATCAGACCTGCCCACATCTTTTGTGTGATGGGGTGGGGCTGGGGTGGGGGAGTTGGTAAAGCCCCTGCCAGCCCACTAGATCCTAGAGCTATCTATCTCTGAGGAGCTAGTCACCTCTGCTCACCTACTGTGTACCTGTTCAAAGGGAGCAGATCTTGAACCTTGACCCCAAAAGAGAACCCATCATGTTCTCCAACTCCCAGAGCTAACTGCCAGCCTATCTGCATTGCTACATAGGGAAGACCTGCCTGGCCACCTAAATTTAAAGCCACCTGTAGGGAATGTAGAATAATGTGGCTTTACCTCTCAAAGATGTTCAAGGCCTAATCCCTAGAACCTGTGAATGTGTTATATTGCATGGCAAAGGGAATAAAGGCTGTTAATCATCTGACCTTAAAATATCCTGGATTATTTGAATGGGCCCAGTGTCACCAATTGTGCAGGTTCTTTAAATGTAGAAGAGAGAGGCAGGAGATCACAGTCCAAGAGAGATTTGAAGATGTTCTAAGGGGTTAGAGACTTCAGAAAGAACACAACCCGGCTAATATCTTGATTTTGGTCTTATGAGACCCGTTTCAGTCTGCTGACCTCCAAAACTATAAGATCATAAGTTTGTGCAAGTTTAAGCCCTAGGGTTGTGGTAATTTTTAATAGTAGTAATAGGAAGCTAATAAGCAAACCCTGTGAGTAGGAACTTTCTGTTAAGGGAAGTCTTGACTGTCAGCCTAACCAATGACGTGTGTGAGTAGTAAGTCAACTGATAGGTAAGTTAGCATAACTATTAACATGAACAGTTATGAGTTACGTTAATATGAATGAGAAAGCAATGGAAACATCTGGAAGCATAATAAAAATCAGTATTTCCTAGATCTCATAGAAGTGAAAAATCAAACTCCACATAGAAAAATCATACAAATGTTTTCCACTAAAACAGAATTGCTGTAGAAAACTTAAGAGAATGTCAAAAAAATGTTTTCAGTGAGACTTAAGAGTAAAATATGAGCATGATGTCATGAAGAATAGATAAATCTGAGAACAATAAAGAGTTCTTAGAGGAATCAAGAGTAGTAGTACATTTGTGAGTTTTCAGCCTCCTCATTCATTTACCCTATTTCCAGGAATGGCCACCAATTTAGGCTCTCCCCTCTCAGTCCCAAAGGGCTCCAGTGGACACTGTTCCCCTTCTCCAATGCCAACAGAACATCAAATAGAACTTCAGTTCTGAAAGAGCCTGTGAACTTATCTCTGTTCTACCACTGTATATATTTTATTGTTTATATTAATATCTATTTCTCCATATATACCATGAATTCCTGGAAAGCTAGTGTAATGTCACATTGTCTTTTTCCCTAGAGTGTTGCAGAGGGCTTTAATAGAGATAAGCTTAAATAGATGTGGATTGATTAAATGGATGACTGAGAGAATGAATACCTGACCAAATAAGTGATGAAATGTGAAGTGTAAGCAGAGAGATTAAGGGGTCCAGGAAGCTGATATTGCTCAGAAGAAAGATTATCAAGGATCCTAAGTAAAATAAATAAATAAAGGGGGAGGATAGTTTCTACTTTGGAAGACAGTTTAGCAATTTCTGAAAAAGTTACATATGAATTTACTTTATGATCCAGAAATTCTACTACTAGGTATTAGAAATGAAAACATATGTCCGTGTTCAGACTTGTACATAAATGTTCATGGAAGCGTTATCCACAATAGCCAAAAAGTGGAAGCAAACCAAATGCCCATGTACTGGGTTTAATAGTATCCCCCCCACCCCCACCAATTCATGTCTACCTGGCACCTTTGAGCATGACCTTATTTGGAGATGTTGTCTTTGCATATGTCATCAAGCTAAAGTGAAATCATGTTGGATTAGGGGACCTAAGTCAAATATAACTGGGATCCTTATAAGAAGAAAGCAATTTGCACTCAGAGACACAGATATATGGGGGAGAAGGCCATATGAAGATGGAAGTGGAAATTGGACTGAAGTATCTACAAACCAAGGAATGCCAAGGACTGCTAGCAACCACCAGAAGCTAGGAGAGACAAAGAAGTATCTTCTTTTAAAGACTTTCGAGTGCCTAACCCTACTAACATCTTGATTTCAGACATCTAACCTCTAGAACTGTGAAAGAATACATTTCTCATTTTATAACCCACCTAGTTTGTGGTCATTTGTTACAGCAGACCCAGGAAACAAATATAGTCTATTAACTGGTGAATAGATAAACAAAATGTGATAAATCCATATAATGGAATTATTCAGAAATAAAAGGGAATGAAGTACTGATACATGCTACGAAATGGAAGAACCTCAAAAACACTTTTCCCAGTGAAAAAAGCCAATCATATAATATATGATCCCACTTATTGAAATGTCTGGAAAAGGCAAATCCATCGATATTGAAAGTGATTACTACAACTGGAGTAAAACAAAATAGTCATTGTAAATGGGCATGAGGTTTCTTTTCAGGTTGATAGAAATATTCCAAAATTGTGGTAATGGTTGCACAATTCTGTAAGCATACTAAAATTCATCAAGTTATACTCTTAAAATGGGTGAATGTTGTGGCATATAAGCTATATCTCATAAAACTTTTTGAAAACTAAGAGGTGCTTCCCTGGTGGCTCATTGGTAAAGAATCTGCCTGCCAATGCAGGAGACACAGATCCAGGAAGACATGGGTTTGATCCCTGGTCCAGGAAGATCCCACATGCTGCCACATCCCGCATGCAGAGCAACTGAGCCTGTGTGCCACAGCTGTTGAGCCTGTGCTCTAGAGCCTGGGTCCACAACTGCTGAGCCTGCGTGCTGCTGCTACCGAAACCTGTGTGCCCTCGAACCCGTGCTCCCCAACAACAGAAGCCCCCGCAACGAGAAGCCAGCACCCTGCAACGAAGGGTAGCCCCTGGCCTCTGCAACTAGAGAAAAGCCCTCACGGCAACAAAGACCTCGCACAGCCAAAAAATAGATACAGAAATAAAAAATAGGAGTTCCCACCCTCCTACACGATTGATGAGAATGTAAATTGGTGCAGCCACTATGGAAAACAGTATAGAGCTTCCTTAAAAACCTAAAAACAGAGCTACTTTATGATCCAGCAATCCCACTCCTGGGCATATATCTGGAAAAGATGAAAGCTCTAATTTGAAAAGATATATGCACTCTAGTCTTCATAGCAGCAGTATTTACAATAGCCAAGACATAGAAACAGCCAAAGTGCCCATCAACAGATGATTAGTTTAAGAAGATGTGGTATAAATATCCAATGGAATACTACTCAGCCATAAAAAGAATGAAGTACTGTCATTTGCAACAACATGGGTTGGCCTAGAAATTACCATATTAAGTGAAGTAAGTCAGAGAAAGACAAATATTACAAGTGATAAGTTATGTCACTTATTATATTATTAGATATGTGGAATCTAAAAAATAATACAAGTGAATCTGTATACAAAATAGAAACAGACTCAGAGAAAACAAACTTATAGTTACCAAAGGGGAAAGAGAGGGTGGAGGGATAAATTAGGAGTATGGGATTAACAGATACAAACATAATACATAAAATAAATAAGCAATGAGGATTTACTGAATAGAACAGGTAGTTATGATCAATATCTTATAAAAAGCTATAATGGAAAATAATCTGAAAAAATACATATGCAACCGAAAAATTATATTTTCTTATCACATATACCTTTATCATTCTGATTAAATAGACATAAACATTTTTTTAAAAATATGGGTTCCCTTTATCCTGAAACACCCTTCTTTTGTTCGAGCTTCTCCTGGGATCTCTACCTCTAGCACATGGTCAACAAGGAAACTTGAATCATGCCACTGGGACTTTGGATAAATTAAAGAATAAAATGTTACATTATTTCATAAATCGAACTAACGAGTAAAAAAAAAACTATACAGTGTTCTTCCAATACAGCAGTCAGTGTGAAACCTAAACCTTCATCTTTCATTTCTTCCCTTTCCTACTAGGAACGGGACATCTCTGGGTATCTGGTTGGCAGGAACAATGCAAATGGAGTGGACCTGAACCGCAATTTCCCTGATCTCAATACCTACATCTACTACAATGAGAAGAACGGAGGCCCCAACCACCACTTGCCCCTTCCAGACAACTGGAAAAGTCAGGTATGAGATGAAATTTGCATGCAGAAGCAGGTAAATCAGCATCTGGGATTTCTTCTCTCGATCTTCACATCAACTAAACAAACAAGAATAAAGCAACAACCCAGTTCTGTGCTAATCTATCCAGAGCAGTGCTGACCATATCGTATGCCTCTTTGTATTTCTTGCCTCCCTGAGCATAGAGCCCTTCACTGAGCACAAGATGTTTGATGTTAGTGGTGAAGGAGGTAAAACTGGTATCATATTGTTTCACAGCACTTTACAATCTTAAAGAACTCTTTCTCAGCTAGTGTATCATCATAAAACTGTGGTAAATGCATCAAGCAGTGTTATCCATCCCCATTTTATAGATATCACTTAGAGAAAAAATTAACTTAAACTTACACAGATAGCAACTGATAGATTCAAGATTAAAACCTAGTCTTCTGACCCCTCATCCAACATTCTTTCTACTGCACTATCCTGTCAACAGAGAACTGTAGAATTCTAGAGAGAAATCTCTCTTGCATGTGATGAACTGTGTGCTTATCAACAATTAGCGATAGAAAGAGGTTCAGGGAGTCTCACCCTTGGAAAGAAGCTTTTCTTCTTCTCTTTCTGTATGCCATTGACTACTTTACCATACTCTCATTTCCTTTTTTCAATCAAAGATCACATGTGATACTCCCAGGTCTCTTACCTCTTCGTATTAGAAATGATTTCATCCGTATGGTTGGCCTGTTCCTGGGAATGACTGCTGTCATCCTTGGAGTATCACCGCCACCCTGTTTCTTACACTGTATGGCTTAGTTCTAAACATTCTCTTTGTGACTATCTGAGCTTAGAGACTGGGGAGAGAAAAATAAAGCAGATATAAGGCTTTATATTGGGAATTGCTAGATGAATATTACCAATTTCTTCCCATTGCAATTGAAGCAAAAGTCATGCTGACATGTTTAGACTTTGGATAGCAGCTATGCTCTTGGCTCAGGTAAATAATAAATCAAAAATAACTTTGTACTTGTCATATTTAGCCAGAAGGATGCTCTGATTTATTAAACTTGTCTACATGAAGTAAGGTAACTGAGCCAGTAATAATTAAACTCCACTGGCTCCTCTGTCTGCGGCTTAGAAAGAAAAAAACAATGAGAAGTCTCTCACTCTTGATGGGATAGCCTAAAGTGCCAGGAACATGAAAGGCTGGCCTCCTTCTGATGGATGAAGGCTTAGGACATGGAGAAAGGACTGCTTTAAAGCATCTGAGCCCTGGTCAGAGTTGGACTGGTTCCTCTGGGATTATATTCACTCTGATTGAGTGGGGCTCAATATTATTCATTTGGTCTCCTTGGGAATAGAAAAGATCAGAACCTTCACAAGAGACCCTTGATCCAGGAGGAGTCATTAACACCACATAACTTCTAAGCACATCCATCTGGAGGGGAGGAAAAACTGTGAAGACTATAAATTATTTACTTACACTACAAGTCCAATAGATTCAAGGCTTTGTTTAGAATACTGTCATTCGCTCGCAATATAATTTGTAGTAGAAAGCATGGACTCTCATTAACTAGACAAGACTGGCCCATATTATAGTATATCTAATTCATGGAATTTGGATATGACCACAATCAGTGAACTAAAGTGGACTGGAATGGGTGACTTTAACTCAGATGACCATTATATCTACTACTGTGGGCAAGAATCCCTTAGAAGAAATGGAGTATCCATCATAGTCAACAAGAGAGTCCGAAATGCAGTACTTGGATGCAGTCTCAAAAATTACAGAATGATCTCTGTTCGTTTCCAAGGCAAACCAGTCAATATCACGGTAATCCAACTCTATGCCCCGACCAGTAATGCTGAAGAAGCTGAAGTTGAACAGTTCTATGTAGACTTACAAGACCTTCTAGAACTAACACCCATAAAAGATGTCCTTTTCCTTATAGGGGACTGGAATGCAAAAGTGGGAGGTCAAGAAATACCTGGAGTAACAGGCAAATTTGGCTCTGGAGTACAGAATGAAGCAGGACAAAGGCTAATAGAGTTTTGCCAAGAGAACGCATTGGTCATAGCAAACACCCTCTTCCAACAATACAAGAGAAGACTCTACACATGGACATCACCAAATGGTCAACACCGAAATCAGATTGATTATATTCTTTGCAGCCAAAGATGGAGAAGCTTTATACAGTCAGCAAAAACAAGACCGGGAGCTGACTATGGCTCAGATCATGAACTCCTTATTGCCAAATTCAGACTTAAATTGAACAAAGTAGGGAAAACCACTAAACCATTCAGGTATGACCTAAATCAAACCCCTATTGATTATACAGTGGAGGTGAGAAATAGATTTAAGGGACTAGATCTGATAGACAGAGTGCCTGATGAACTACAAATGGAAGTTTGTGACACTGTACAGAAAGACAGCAATCAAGACCATCCCCAAGAAAAAGAAATGCAAAAAAGCAAAATGGCTGTCTAAGGAGGCCTTACAAATAGCTGTGAAAAGAAGAGAAGCTAAAGGGAAAAGAGAAAAGGAAAGATATACCCATTTGAATGCAGAGTTTCAAAGAATAACAAGGAGAGATAAGAAAGCCTTCCTCAGTGATCAATGCAAAGAAATAGAGGAAAACAATAGAATGGGAAAGACTAGAGATCTCTTCAAGAAAATTAGAGATACCAAGGGAACATTTCATGCAAAGATGGGCTCAATAAAGGACAGAAATGGTATGNGAGAAGAATAAAATATTTTTGAAATGATATAAAGGTGAAATAAAAGTAAAGCTGAATTGAATTCAAAGAATGAGGCTCTTGAAAGAAAGATCATAAAGATAGCAAAATTGCGTTAGCAGAAAGAAAACTACAGCTGAATCTTGAACAATCCAGGTTTGAGCAGACGACGTAATGCAAAATCTAATGAGTGATGTTTTAAGCCAGCTTATACTCCACATTCAGAAAAATAAGATCATGGCATCAGGTCCCAGCACTTGATGGGAAATAGATTGGGAAACGATGGAAACAGTCACAGACTTTATTTTATTGGGCTCCAAAATCACTCCAGATGGTGACTGCAGCCATGAAATTAAAAGAAAAGTTATGACCAACCTAGACAGCATATTAAAAAGCAGGGACATTACTTTGCCAACAAAGGTCCATCTAGTCAAAGCTATGGTTTTTCCAGTAGTCATGTATGGATGTAAGAGTTGGACTATAAAGAAAACTGAGCACCAAAGAATTGATACTTTCAAACTATGGTGCTGGAGAAGACTCTTGAGAGTCTCTTGAACTGCAAGGAGATCTAACCAGTCCATCCTAAAGGAGATCAGTCCTGAGTGTTCATTGGAAAGACTCATATTGAAGCTGAAACTCCAATACTTTGGCCACCTGATGCGAAGAGCTGACTCATTTGATAAGACCCTGATGCTGGAAAAGATTGAGAGTGGGAGAAGGGGACAACAGAGGATGAGATGGTTGGATGGCATTGCCGACTCAATGGGCATGAGTTTGAGTAAACTCTGGGAGTTGGTGATAACAGGGTGGCCTGGCGTGCTGCAGTCCATGGGATCATAAAGAGTCAGACACGACTGAGCGACTGAGCTGAACTGAACTGACAGGAGAACATTCTACATGTCAACATTACAGCAGATGTGTGGGAGTAGGAAGAGGTTGAAAATCATTGTTGTAAACCAGTAATTTTCAGATATATTTATTAAACTCCAAATTTCTGCAGCTCCAGAAGCTACTGGAAAAGTGGGTAAGTTGAAGAACCCTTTCTTTATTACACAAGAGAGGCCAAATTGGAATTCTGAGCTCAGAAACCCTGTGCTCCTCCTCTTCAAATTGCTCTTTCTCTCCCTTTCTCTCCCTTTTTTATTTGAGACTTTATTTTTTTTAAGGAATTTTAGGTTCACAGCAAACTTGAATGGAAAGTATAGAATGTTACCACATATTCCCTGCTTCCCATTATCAACATCTCCCACCCGAGTGGTACATTTATTGCAATGATGAACCTACATTGACTTGTCATCATTACCCAAAAATCCATAGTTTCCATTAGGGTTCATTCTTCATGTTGTATACTCTGTGGGTTTTCACAAATGTGTCATGACATTTATCTACCATTTTGCATCATGCACAATAGTTTCACTGCCCTACATGACCTCTTTTTAGCTATTTTGAATAGTGGGATTCCACATGAGATTTCATTTTGAAAGTGTTCTATTCACCTAATTTGTTACACTGTCAAGCAAAAGATCAAAATTTCCCTGTCTGCACTTCTTGTATCTGGTAGAACTCTCTTTGCTTTTTTCAGGCATGCCATCCTCTCAGGCCACTTCCTGTCAGACATTCCATCCTTTTCGGCCACTTCCTGACAAACTCACGTGAACAGCCATCTGGCTTTAGTTGTAGCTTCACCGCCAAGCTCTCATCTCTCCTCAGGTGGAACCCGAGACCCAGGCTGTGATACAGTGGATCCGCTCCTTCAACTTTGTCCTTTCAGCCAATCTCCATGGAGGGGCAGTGGTGGCCAATTACCCATATGACAAGTCCCTTGAGCACCGGGTCCGAGGTTTCCGCCGCACTGCCAATACCCCCACGCCTGATGACAAGCTTTTCCAGAAGGTATGCAGAATGGCCATCTGTCCAGGCAGAGGAAAGTGGGGCTCAGGAGAGTGACAGAGGTCAAATCAGTTAACACAGGATCCTATTAGGAATGAGTTGACAGAAGATAATTGAAAATACCTCCTGCTCATTAGGAGCTTATGATCTAGTATATTACATTTTGTTTTGAGTGATAAATCATACATTTATGAAAAAGTAAATAAATAGGAAAGCTTTATAGTACAGTTACCACAATGTAAAAAAATACTTGTTGGTGAAAAGGAAGAAATACACTGAAAGCCTGATAGTGCTGGTGGTAAGCTAGAGCATTAAATGTGAATTTCAGGGGCTCTAATTTACAGTTTTATAGTAATATGGCTGTATAAATGTAAAATATACCATGCATAGGAAAAAGGCTTATATTATAGTTCAAAACAATGATAGAATAAAATTAACAGATTAGTTATTTTATAGTTAATATTCTTAATAACATATAATTAATAAAATAATAACATTATTTAGTATTTCAGGTTTTTTTTCTGGCTGAGTCTCATGACTTGTGGGATCTTAGTTCCCTGGCTGAGGATTGAATCTGGGTCCCCACATTGAAAGCACCAAGTCCTAACCACTGGACTCCAGGGAATTCCCCTATAATGATAACATTAATTCAACAGTTAATGAATTACATAAAGAATAACACCAGTTGTCGCTTTGCAAAGCAAATATATTATTGTATTTTCTTCTCTGGTAATCTCATTTTGTCCATTGTTATAAAATAGTAATGAAAGAAAATGATAGAGATTTTGAATCTACCCCTGTCCCTTTAACATACATCTCTCACTCCCAATACATAATTCCTTTTGTGATGAAGACCTGTCTTACTTGCTTCTTGATTCTCTCTTGCAAAACTCAGGTGGAAACTGAGGTGCACTTGGAAGAGAGCTTGTACGTGATCGAATGCCACCCCTTATTTTGCACTTGAAGAAATTTAGGCCCAATATTGTGGGAACAGCAGGAGATCGATCTCCTAACTCTAGTCCATTCCACACACACACATATACCATCTCTCCATTTCTCCTGGTATTTTCCTTCACAAAAGGAAATAATCAATTGTTTCTACCTAGTGGGGTTTTTGGCCTCACCCTGCTTCTGAGTATGAGCATTGCCATGTGAGTCGGGGACACTCAAGGTCATTTTTCACCCGCTTTACCTGTAGCTGGCGAAGGTCTACTCCTATGCACATGGATGGATGCACCAAGGTTGGAACTGTGGGGATTACTTCCCAGACGGCATCACCAATGGGGCTTCCTGGTATTCCCTCAGCAAGGGTAAGAAGAATGCTGGGCACAAGAGTGCTGTATGCTGAAGTAGACTGGGACTCATTTCTGCTTTTAAATTGTCAGTTGATTTTTGCATCCTGTCAGAGATATGACAGGAATGCTATTTTGCATTCAAGTAGAGATCTGAAAAATGAGAAGCCTTAAGTTGGCATTTAACATCATCTTGTAATTCTTTAAAATGGAGGTTGGAACACTGTATGATCCTTTAGAACTGATGGTTCATGTAGTGGATTAAATCATAGGAATGTAGTCAAGTGGTTAAGAGTGTGGTCTCTAAGGTTACATTGGGTTGAAACCCAGCTTGCCCGTTCACTAATTATCTGGCTTCAGGCTAATTACCTAACTTCTCTGTGCTTCAGTTTCCTCGTTTGTACTTTAAGAATAACACTACTTGCATTATGATTTTTATGTAATTATTAAATAAAATAATGCACATAGAGCATGTGGAAATGCCTGCTATAAAGCATATATAAAATATGAAGCTTTTTCTAAAGTGGCATGAGGTATGCCTCACATAGCAAAGATAAGGAGAGATGCCAGGCTGGACAGACAATTCCTCTGATATGTGCTCTTTGTACCCTGCCTGCCCATCTCCCATCAACAGGGATTTGCCATGGACATTGGCCACTGATAACATAGCAGACACCTTAAGCAAGAGACTCTTCTCTCTATTCTTTGGGCTTTTCCCATCACTGAGGGTCAAGATGTAACCTCTGTTTACAAACCTTCAGTACATGAAGAACCTAAGGATAGGTTAAGAGCTGAAGCAGGAAGCCAGGTTCTCTTAGGAATCATGTTGCAGCAGCTCTCTTCCCCCGTCCTCTCACACCTGACCTGTCAGAGCCCAGGTAGTAGAAACTCACTGGTGAGGTCTGAGCTGATGTCTGTCCTATGGGGACTGGGAAGGAGGAAGGTTAGCAAGTCATCATGTACTCGGAAGATGACAGACTTCTTATGGCCAAAAACTCGCTTGAACCCAAAGCAGGAAGATTGAACTTTACTTTGGTTTACATTAGGAAAGCAGTAAGTTGTTGTTCAGTCACTAAGTTATGTCCAACTCTTTGAGACTCCACGGACTACAGCACACCAGGCTCCTCTGTCTTCCACCATCTCTTGGAGTTTGCTCAAATTCATGTCCATTGTGTTGATGATTCTGTTTAACCATCTCAGCCCTGCAGCCCCCTTCTCCTTTTGCATTCAGTCTTTCCCAGAATCAGGGTCAAAGCAATAAGTGCCTGTGTGCTAAGTCAATTCAGTTGTGTCCAGCTCTGTGCGACCCCAGTAACTGTAGCCCACCAGGTTCCTCTGTCCATGGGATTCTCCAGGCAAGAATACTGGAATGGGTTGTCATTTCCTTCTCCAGAGGGATCTTCCCTACCCAGGGATTAAACCCATGTCTCTTAAGTCTCCTGCATTGGCAGGTGGGTTCTTAACCACTAGTGCCACCTGGGAAGCCCCAAAGCAATAAGTTCAGTTCAGTTCAGTTCAGTTCAGTCGCTCAGTCGTGTCCAACTCTTTGAGAGCCCATGAATCGCAGCGTGCCAGGCCTCCCTGTCCATCACAAACTCCCGGAGTTTACTCAAACTCATGCCCATTGAGTCGGTGATGCCATCCAGCCATCTCATCCTCTGTCGTCCCCTTCTCCTCCTGCCCCCAATCCCTCCCAGCATCATGGTCTTTTCCAATGAGTCAACTCTTCGCATGAGGTGGCCAAAGTATTGGAGTTTCAGCTTCAGCATCAGTCCTTCCAATGAACACCCAGGACTTATCTCCTTCAGGATGGACTGGTTGGATCTCCTTGCAGTCCAAGGGACTCTCAAGAGTCTTCTCCAACACCATAGTTCAAAAGCAATAATTCCCCCTCCCAAATTTAAAATATAAAGTATACTTTTTCAAGTACTTGTTCCTCCCTTTCCCTTTCCATTTTCTGGGATAGCATAACCCATGCCTCCACTAAATCAATCATTTAGTCATTACCCCAAATTAAATGGGTGTAATTCCAAGATCATGAAGTTTATATCAAAATGATAGGTTTCTAGACCAGCATCATCAGCATCACCTGGGAACTTGTTAAAAAAAAAAAAAAAGCAAGTACTAGATACATACTGAGTCAGAAACTCTGGCGCTGAGGCCTAGCAATTTGTATTTGGCTGGAAGTCACAGCCTTCTAGGTAATTCTGATTCAGGGAGAGAATCAATGTAACAGGCTAGAGTTGTTCTCCAGCTTTCCCCATTCTTTTTAATAAAAGCTGTTTGCACTCATCAGCTTAGAGAGCAGTAAAAAGTTGATTAGATGAATAACTTTTAATCCCAATAAGTTTGTGATATAAATACCACTCTAATAATCAGAAATATATTTAAAAGTGATTGATTCAGTTGAATAATATGCATGATGGAAACAGGCAAGCATTTGACGAAGAAAAATTATAATTGCCTTCTGCTCTCTCTGGAGTCTGTTTTTCTAGGGTAACTATTTTCAAGTTGGTGCTGTGTTCTCAGGTAGGAGAAAGGGTGTGAAGGCAAGATAGCCATCTCATTTCTGACCTCCCAGATCTGAAGAATATCACAGTCCAAGAGAAGAATCTATCACCCTGAGAGCAGTAATTGTCTGACATGAAGACATGAGTAATAAGCATCACACACATGGTGTGATGAGAGGGACAAGAAGTGAATTTAAGTCTTGAAATGGAAGAAGTAGAGAATGGAGACCACACAGTGGGCATTTGTGAAGGGAGAAAACTGGAAAGATAGATAGGCATGTGAATTCGGAAACTGGGGAAAGGGTTCATGGAGGAGAAAAATAATGGAGATAAAGAGTTAGAACAGCAGGTGATGGGGAGGAGAGTGTGGGGAAATTGAGTGCTGAGTGGGAACCTGATTATACAGCTCTGCCACTGCTCTCCTCCCCCTAGGAATGCAAGACTTTAATTATCTCCATACCAACTGTTTTGAGATCACGCTGGAACTTAGTTGTGACAAGTTTCCGCTGCAAGGGGAATTACAACGCGAGTGGCTGGGTAATAGGGAAGCCCTAATCCAATTCTTGGAACAGGTAAATTCCATATTTTAAGTTTCCTGGTCATAGGAAGGGAAGTGTTTTCTGATGGTAGGCAAGGTATTTTGTATGACTCAGGTCTGACTTTTGCTCTGATTCAATACAATAGATCTCAGCTTTTCTACCAGTGAAATTAATTCATTCCACTTTGTTGAGCACAGCTATCTGTCAGAGACTGTACTCTGTGCTGAGGATTAAGAGTAAACAAATGTATATCTCTGCATGTATGCAGCTCATATTCCAGTAAGGAGAGACGGACAATAAATAAAATAATTTGTAACATGTTAAATGCAAAATGCTATGAAGGCCTTACAGAGAAAGTAACATTTAAACAGACTTACAGGAGGTAAGGGAGTAAATGGTTCAGATATCTAGGGGAAACAGGGCTCCCTGATGAAGTCATAGTAGCAAATGCAAGACCAACAGTAAGCAGATGAAAAGATGCTCAGAATCACTGGAGAAATGTAAATCAAAGCCACAATGAAGTACCACCTCACACTCATTAGGATGGCTGCTATAAAAAGATGAATTTAAAAACAATGATGGAAAATAGCAAGTGTTGTGAAGAAATCAGAACACTGGTGCAGTGTTGGTGGGAATGTAAAATGGTGTAGCCACTATGAAAAAACAATGTGGTGGTTCCTGAAAAAAAATTTAAAATAGAGCCGCCATATGATCCTGCAAAACCAATTCAGGGTATATATCCAGAAGAACTAAAAGCAGGATCTCAAAGAGTTATTTGTACACCTGTTTTCAGAGCAGCATTGTTCACGGTAGCCAAAAGGTGAGAACAAGCCAAGTGTCCACTGATGGATGAAGGGACAAACAAAATGTGGTATAGACACACAGTGGATGTGCAGCCTTAAGAGAGAAGGAAATTCTGCCATGTGCTACAATGTGGATCAATCTGGAGGACATTATGCTAGGTGAAATAAGCCAGTCACAAAAAAACAGCAATTTTATTTATATGAGGTATGAAGAGTAGTCAAATTCATAGAGATAGAAAGGAGATTAGTGACACAATTTTAGATTGTGTCACTTAGATGTTGTGTTAAAACTTGTGTTAAAACTTAGATTTTAACAGGATCACTCTGACTGCTGTTTTGAGATTACTGGGGATTGTGGTGAGAACAGAAAGACCAATCAAGAGTCTGTTACCATAATCTTTGTGAATATCAAGTGCAGTGGCACATGGGGAAGGGCTTTGAGGACTCTCATACAGGGCACAAGTGTTTTGTGAGCATAACTCTACACTATAAACTTTCCTACAGGTCCACCAGGGCATCAAGGGAATGGTGAGGGATGAGAATTATAATAATCTTGCGGATGCCGTCATTTCTGTCAGTGGGATTAATCATGATGTCACTTCGGGTAGGTGGCCACTGCTTTGTGAGGTGGCCTTTACTGCTTCACTGTCTTCAGCATAGTCAGGAAGCCAATTTGTAAGCCAGTGAGACCAGCAGGGACGTCAAGGACACTGGAGGTGGAGGGATTGGAGGAAGGAAGGATAACAGGATTGAGGACAGGAATTAAGAGTCAAGGGCCAGGAAGATGCAAATGTGAACATCTCTCTCAGCATTCAGGAGTCACTGCCTCATACTTTGTTAGGAGTGTTTTCTGGGATTGAGGTTATTAATAGCTCTCATACTGATGTGAAATGGGATAGAAAAGAAAAGGACTGTAAAACTGATGTTTAGTCTTGACCCCAAGCCAGGCATCATGCTACAGCTCTGTTTAGGAAAAAATTGGTAAGATGTATCCCATAGTAGGCTCCCTGAGGGCAAGATTGATGGTGGGAGCAGGTCTTCTTGGAACCAACTTGAAACCTTCCAGAATGGTACAGACTATCTCAAGGCACAATGGTGTTGCAAACTGCCCCAGCGCAGTTTGATCAGGCCCAACTCTTTGGGGTTCGGGTTGTTTGGTTGGTTTTTCATGCAGAGCAGTAGCTCCCAATGGCTAGGGGGTGGGTGAGATTTGCCTGCCTCCCCCAACCTTAATACCAGCATGGCTCAGCCACATTTCACCATGCTAGCTTTACCAAGCAGGCATCTTACAGCTCAAACAGTCTGTTTAAACTGGATGAAATCTCAATTTTAAGGAGATAACTTACATTCCTTAAGGTGCTTCCAACACCTTTTCCATGAACAGTTCATTCAAGGCAAAGGCAACAGCATTCTAAAGACAGAATTCTGTAGACTCATAGTCAAGCATCAGACACCAGATTCTTCCAGTCCGGTGACTGGACCCAGGACTGTTCAGGGAACCATGCTGTGACATGCCTAAGAGCTTCAGGGCTTGCTGGATTCTTATATCCTATTCATGCAAGGGTGGGAAATGTCTCATTCTAGTCAATCAACATATGTTGAACACCACGAATTTCAGCAATAAGAACCCACTTCTAACACACAGGATGCTAAATTGATAAATTACTCATTTCACTACTGGAAGAGCTCATTGCTAACGTTCATTATGCTACTTAGCAAAGCATCTAGTGTAGCTAAAAGATAAAGATAGCTGAAGCCATTGTAATAGCTGCATCTGGAATTAGGCCTTTCTGGTACAGTGGTAGCTAACCACTCCTAGTTGGAGCCTCTAATTAAAGAAAATGACAGTCCCTAGAGTATAACAAAGTATCCAGTGTATGCATTATAACACACTGCTTTAACTAAGGAATTTTAAAGTAAATTATAGACATTATAGGTGGCAGAGACTTCTTCATTATTTATTATCTCTCATTCTTAATTGCATTTATTATGTCAGTTCTTCATTGCTGTTACAATAAAAAGAATTTTAAAGGCACAGTCATAATTTATTCTAAAGAGATGTAAAGTCATTAGCAAAAATACTACATCCCTGTCTTGAGAAACAGGCTTTCTTTTCAGTTTTATTTTCCCATTTTGATGGTGATGGAAGAAATATTAGAAATAAGATTCTCAAAATCAGATATTTAGGTCATTTAGTCCAGCCCTCCCACTCAATACAAAATTACATACAAGAGAGGAAGGCTCAAGTGGGAAGGGATATATATATATATCATATATATATTTATAATTATTATTGATTCATGTTGATGTATGGCAGAGACAACCAAAACATTGTAAAGCAATTATTCTCCACTTTCAAAAAAAATTACACTTATACAGCACCACTGACATCTGGTTGTTTGCATCATGTCCACTGATACAGGTTGTGCACTGCACAACTGTGTAGCTTTTCTAGAGCCCCTCATTCCATTCAGTCTCTGCTCACAATTTCAAAAGGCAGTCCATTCCTTTTTTGGTAACTCATATTTTGTCGAATTTTTACTTCTGTCCTCATTCTTATTTCTTTATGTAGACATCGTTTCTTCACAATGACTTTTCAGACGTTGAAACAAAGGTCTCATGTCATCTCTTTACCAGAAAACACATTCCTAACCTTTCTCCTAGTGACTCTTCAGTGGACATGCATTTGTTTTAAAATGCATGCAGGGTCTAAAATTAAACATAGTACTCTCAGTGCAGAGCACAGTGAAAATTCTGCTTCCCAGGAGCTGAGGCCCATGATCTTACAATGTTATGACAGCCTATGATTGTTTTAGATCTTTACCAGATTCATTATGCTGTTTAAAAAAATTAAGCTTGTGGTCAGCTAAACCCCTCAGATTGTTTTTCATATCAAAGCCTCATCTGGGGCAGATTTCTCATCAGCAGACTGAGTTATATCCTTGTAACTTTTAGGTGCCCATGGCGATTACTTCCGGCTGCTGCTTCCAGGTACCTACACTGTCACTGCCACAGCACCTGGGTTCGACCCAGAGACCGTGAGTGTGACCGTGGGTCCTGCGGAACCCAAGCTGGTAAGTTAGGCTGATCTCTACATAGCACTGTAAAGATCACATAAGGCAGAGTTACAAATAATCAATTGTATAGTTCTAACTCATGGGAAATAGGTGGGGAGACAGTGGAAACAGTGGCTGACTTTATTTTTATTCATGGGGTCACAAAGAGTCAGACACGACTGAGCACTGAACTGAATTGAACCTTTGCCAAGCTTCCCTCTTTCACCACCTAAGAGAAACAAAATTAGTGCTCCCATATGCTAATTTTTCTTCTATCATTCTTGTGTTACATCCTTCCCCATTTCTTTTGGTTTTTCTCTTTAACGTAGCATTGTGATTAAAACACTGCCAGATTCTAAATCCAGCTCACTTGTCTGCAAACCTTGGACAAATTACCTGATTGCTCTCATCCTCAGTTTCTTCCTCTGTTAACTGGTAATAATAATGCCTCTTTCACAAGAGGTTGAAATGAGAAAGTACACATAAAGCATTTAGTACAGTGACTTAGACTTAGAAAGTGAAGTTAAAGTGAAGTCGCTCAGTCGTGTCTGACTCTTAGCGACCCCATGGACTTCAGCCTACCAGGCTCCCCTGTCCATGGGATTTTCCAGGCAAGAGTTCTGGAGTGGGGTGCTCAACAAGTGTTAGTTTGTAAATCCCAGAGACCTTGCATACACAGGCTTACAGTCTTCTCAGTCATCAGTAAGGACCACCACCAGATGGCACTCTGCCCCCTTCTGGTGCCCATGTGCCCAGACAGCCTTGCTTTCCACTCACCTCGGAGCTCTTCAATATTCAACTCTCCAAAAGGCTTTCTTTTATAGACAGGATGAGAAGTGAAAAATTTTTTTGATCTATAGCCTGGGCCTTTTTAGCTTTGGTCGTTTGGGATTGCGATCTCAGAGCCAAAGAAGCTCAAAGATCATGGACAGTAATCCTCAGGTTTCTCAGACAAAGGAAAGGTAATGAGGCCGTCCTGGTTAATGAGCATCTGTGGACCTTTCCCTCATGTCAGGTCGTCCCTTGGGCCCCCTCACTCTGTCCTATTCCTTCTCTATACATCCTGAGAACTTAGCACACCCTTCCTCCCTTTCCCTGTTAACTCAATGCAGTCAAATATCTTGCCTTTTCAAATAGTTATAGGTGCTTTGAATAGCTTTGAATAGCTACTGTGTGTTAGACGTTACCTGAGAGCTTTCCAGAATCATCTCATTTAACCTTCATAACAACCCTGTATATAAACCCATTTGTGGCTGAGGAAGCTGAAGCTCAAAGAACAGGAGTAACTTGTCCAGTACCCCATGGTGAGTAAGTGGGAGCCAGGAGTCCAGCCTCTGTGAGGCTTTCAGGGCAGCTTTCTCAGCCAGTCTGTTACATGGCCTTATACTGAGCTCAGCACCTGTGTTTGTAACCTTTTTTAATATAGGAATCACAGAAAAGAGCTCTTTAAAGACTTTGAAAATTCCTTTGAAATTTCTAGACAATTTCCCCTTTCCCCTCTCCTAGTCCCTCCACTCCCTTCTCCTGCAGGATATAAATGACTTCTACTTGCAGATGCGGGAAGCAGAAAGTAGCTCTTCCCTGGCAGCCTGTTAACCTGCTCCCAATTTCCCAATCGGTGCACCCTCTACCTTTTTCCTTGTTATCCCCCTGCTCCTCATCTACCCTAAAATCAAATGACTGTTAGGCAGCTGCTTACAGAAGTCTTGCACTATGTGTAAGTTTATTCAATTGCAAATTCAAACAAGGACAAATCCTCTTGAGTAACAAATTAGGCTTCAAAAGACCTTGCCTCCTTTCTCATATAACCTTTAAAAGAATTGATACAACCCATCATTGCATCACGTATAACTCTGAGGGGGGAAAATTTATCTTTTGGATACATTTCTCAGATAGTGTCACAACTAAAAATCCACTTATTGATCTCAGTTGAGTCCCTTTCCCATTCTAAAGCAGAGATCTACTTGGTTGAAAGAAAAGAAAAAAGATCGTTTACTAGAGGGTTTTTGTGCTACAAGTAAAACTCTTTAAAGTGTCTCCAAGAGTCCAGTGTTTTCCCCGTGGCTTCCCTCACTGCCATCCAGATGTCCCACGCTTTTCATTTCCTCTGTCCTCTCCTCATTTTGTTGTCTCTCCCCCTCCCCCCCCCCCNCCCCCCCCCCCCCCCACTTTCCTTTCCTTGATCCTTATATTGACACTATATATAAGAAATAGTACTGATCCAGTACAATTGGCTTTGATTTCTCCGGCTTTTGGAGAACTAGTTGGCTGTGGGTTTTTTCCCAAAGGGGCAAGAAATAACCCCATGAAGAGGTCTGTCTGTCACATGTTTTCCAACTCCCTGCTGGCTTCAGCAGCTCAGTCAGTTCCCAGGGCCTGAGAGCCAAGGATGCCTCCAGGGAGTGTGGTTAGAACACTGTGCCACACCCTCGCCTTTCCCTTCCTGGGCCAGAGCTCTAGGGCTTCTGCACAGCCCACAGATTCCACACTTGTCAGTCAGAAGCATTGTCACCTCTGTGTGCATGGCCAGAAGGAAGGTTTCAGTGTACTGCTGGAAACAGTGCATTAGTGCACGAGGACTTTGCGAATTTAAGAATCCATGCTAGCAATCTATTTCTGAAGGTCTGAGGCGTTCTTTGGCTTGCCTGAGCACAGTACCTGCGACTCACGCAGTCAGCTTAAAGGTGATGACTGTGGCACCATGAATCTTAACTCTTGTTTTGAACAGCAGTATTGGCAAACATCATGCCTTGAGTGTAGATTTTTTTTTCTATTACATATAAAATAAATGTACATTAAGTTCATGCAGATACACCCTATGTATCATCAGTTATGATGTACCATTTTGGGGGAGATATGAGCCAAGCCTGTATGACACCACCCACACTGGGTGGTTGCCGGGATATTCTCCTCAGTTCCTTGTCCTCAGGACCTCAGGTAAAGCAGGATCCAAACTGGTCTTCCCCCAATTTCAGTTCTAGGGAATGGAAAACTGATTTCTGTGCTCTCCTAGCTTCTTCTTCTTTTTTTTTTTTTTTCAGGTTAATTTCCAACTCAAGAGAAGCACCCCTCAAGCAGCCACTAAGAGGAGAATTCCCAACTCAGGGCATAGAGGCAGAGTCTTACCAAAGAAAGTGCAACCCCGGGCAGCTAGGAAAAAAGAAACGATGATGAAGCAACCCCAGAGAGGCCCTGCCTGAAATCTGCAGTGCTCGGGGCAACGCTTTGGAAAGGCTTTGTTCCTGCTCTCCCACCAGAAGAAGCATTCTATTTTATTATCTGAGACATATTTAAATATAAACATATTCAGAACAATTCAGAATGGTTTCCATCTGTTCCAGGGGTAAACCTTCTGATGCAGTTAATACATACATGCAAATAACATTCATTAAGATTTTCCATTTCCGGGAATATGGTTTAGGTCCAGAAGGCTCTGTGCCAATCCACGCTGTATCCAGAGACTGGTTCTGGCTGGTTAATCACTCTCCCTCTAGAGTCTAGCACAAAGCCTGCAACACAGTAAGTACCCAATGAAGGTTTCTGGACAAATGGCTGAAAGGATGAGATGATCCATCATTGATGTTGTTCCCATAGCAAGACCAGGTAGCCTATTCTGAAATCCTAGAAGACCATCTCAACAAGTCTCGATAGTTTCTTTTTAAAAAAATAGTGCTTTTTAAAAAATAATTTTTATTTATGCATTTTTGGATGCACTGGGTCTTCGTTGCTGTGTGGAGTTTTCTCTGGTTGTAGTGAGCAGGGGCTACTCTTGACTGCTGTGCGCAGGCTTCTCATTGCCATGGCTTCTCTGGTTATGAAGCATAGGCTCTAGGCGCATAGGCTTAATGGTGTGGCTCACGGGCTTCCCAGACCGAGGATGGAACCTGTGTCCTCTGCATTGGCAGATAGATTCTTATCCACTGGACCATCAGGGAAGCCTGAGCCAATAGTTTCTTATTAACTAAAGGATTTCACACACAAACACCTACTCCTTCTGCTACCTATTTTTATACACAAGCATTTTAAACAATATGCATCTTTCAAACATTTTCTGGGTCATAGGGATGCCCCTGTGGAATGACTGTGTCCCGACCCTGTTTCGGGAATACACAGTACTCTCCACCCCCCAGAATGAACCATTTGTACTAAAAGTGTTATGAAGCAAAATAGACGTCACTGAAGGTTTTGAAGGAATGTGCAGTCTTTCATCACTCAAGTTCATAACCTCCCACTGGGCATGTTCGGGGTTCCTGAGTTCCCTGTCCCCAGGGCTTAGAGGGGGAGTTTACCCATCATCACCCATTTCAGGGCTCAGCTCCAGTGAGACAGGGCAGGCTCCATTTCCCCCCACACTTGCTCCACCTCTCCCCACCTTGTCATCCTCCCGCAACGGTTCCTCAGCCTCTCCCAAGCCCAGAACTTTCCCAACATTGAGAAGTTTAGCTGCTCTCAGCAGGTATTCTCACCTCCACTGGAAAACAGCAGGTGCTCTCTCTATGACCGTTCACCTTCTGCAGGAGACCATTCAAGATTAGGATGAACACGTGATTTATTTTTGTTACCTGAGCAATCCCTCAATCTGTGGTCAAATGGGAGACAGAAGAAAACGTATCTTTTCCCATTTAAAGAGGAAATTCTCTCCTCAGGTGATATTTTCTTTCTTCCCAATTTTAATCCCATATCCCTTGGTTCCCTTCTTATTGTTATAAAGAGAGAACTACTTGAGAGGGCTCTTTTCAGTTCAGTAAGACTGTGACTGACGTTGCCATATGCACTTGAGTTTTCCAGACTGTCAATATTGCTTACTTTGATTTCAGCTTCCTTTATACATAGTCGTTTAGCAAAGCTGATGTTTGCAAAGCAGGGTCACAGTGCTTTCCCTGGCCCAACAGTATACTTTTATTTATTCATTCATTCATGCAGGGGACATTTATTGAGTCCTTGCTCTCAATAAATGCTGAGAATACAAAGAGGAAGAAGATACAGCGCATGATCTCAGGGCTGCCGTGACCTAGTTGGGAAGACAAATAGGTCATTACACTGCCTTGTGATAATTGCTATGATTAAGTAAACTCTGAGGTGGGGGGACAGGGAACCTGTGGGAAGGGCCCTGGCATAATCTTGGGAAGATCAGGAAAGTCATATTGGAATTCGTAAAGTCTACGGTGAGATGTAACAAGGTCAGATAAAGAGGCATTGGTCGGGGGCAGGGAGAGGGGTAGTGAAAGATAGGGGAGCCAGAGTTAGGCTGAAGGTGACTGCAAGTACCAAGGTCTGGAGGCATGGAAGAGGGGACTCTTACGTGAGGGAGGGAATTGTGAGAGATTCAGCACCAGGGAGCGAGTGAGGTGCCCAGAGAGGTCATAGAGTGGGGAGAGACCAGAACCTGCAGGACCTTTGAACCACATTACAGAGTTCAGACTTTATCCTGAGAAGAACAAGCAGCCACTGAAGGGTTCCACTGAGGGGAGAGGCAGAATCAAATCTGGAGCCTTCACCCTGGCTATAGCCTGACAAGCCGGCTGGAGCAGCGGCAAGGATGAGTCACTGCAAAGACTGCTGAGAGCCAGGTGAGAACTTGACCTGGGTGGAACAGCAGGGGTGGGGACCACCAGGCAACTCGTGACTGAGCCAGAGGCTTCCTGTCAGCCCCCATGGCTTCCCTGACCTCTTCAAGACTTTCAGCTTTCTCATTCAGGCCCTCCTGGCCTGCCATCCTGAGGATTTTAAGCACTAAAGGAGATGGCAGGTTTTCAACCAAACCTTAAAGGCTATGCTGAGTAAAATTCACTCAAGCTGGAGGTGATAATACAGACAGACTATTATATGGAAAATACAGGGTCTTGCCATGACTGTATAAAATTTTCTCATATGTGGAGGAAGGATGTGAAGTCAGAGCTAATGGGGGAGAGAGGCAGAATTCAGAGGACATGAAGAAACATCCTCCATCTTTGAGTCCAGCACTTTTCTGGAGAATATCCTTTCTATTTTATATCTAAGATCTTATTTTAAATCTTCCGCACAAAATGCCAGCCTAGATAGATAATGTTTCCCAGGGGAAGAATACTGTAATTAAGGGCATGAATTTTGGACTCTGACAGACCTGGGTTTAATCCTAGCTCTGCTCCTTATTTGCTGCGTGACCTTGAATGAGTAACTTACCATCTCTGATCATGGTTACTCACCTGGAAAAAAAAAATGGAGATAATATCAACCTCACCTGGAGTTAAAGGTGATACTCTTATAGATCAGTTGGGAGGAGAAGGCAGCTTCTGCCCTGGACTCTCCTTGGAGGATTGTAACTCATCAGTTGGGTCGATTGTAAACCAGTGAGGCTTACAGGGGCATCAAGGACTTAAAGGTGCAAAGGCGAGTTTGGAAGTGAGGCAGGTCTTAAGGGGCTGAGTCAAGTCTATTCTTTCTTTTTTAAAAATCTCATGTGCTGGAAGTCTTTAGTGTTCCTTACTCCTCCTAGCACTTTTCCTTCCAAATTGAAGACTCTTGACCCAGTGATCCTCCTCATGTGACTAGGAGGAGAATTTCCAGTTTTAAGGCAGGATGATACCTAATGACTGTTGGACCTGGCACTGGTGCCTCCAGAAGATCCTGCTCTGGTAAGCTGTGACTCCCTTGTCTTTCCTTTCAGCCCGCCTTATATATATACATACAGCAAGCATATTTGTTGAGTGAATGATTCCATGACTATTTTCACATTCCCCCCCGCCCTCATTCTTTCCTCTTTAACTGTTTTTCTTTTTTTTATCTAGTATAGTTTTGAGCATCCATTTTAATATGTATTTATTTGGCTGTGCTGGGTCTTCAGTACTGTTCATGGGCTTTCTCCTGTTGCAGAGAGCAGGGGCTACTCTCTAGCTGTACATGGGCTTCTCATTGCAGTGGCTTCTCTTGTTGCTGAGCACAGGTTCTGGGGCATGTGGGCTTCAATATGTATTTATTTGGCTGTGCTGGGTCTTCAGTACTGTTCATGGGCTTTCTCCTGTTGCAGAGAGCAGGGGCTACCCTCTAGCTGTACATGGGCTTCTCATTGCAGTGGCTTCTCTTGTTGCTGAGCACAGGTTCTGGGGCATGTGGGCTTCAATAGCTGCTGCACATGGACTCAGTAGTTGCAGCTCGAGGCTCCAGAGTGCAGGCTCAGTGGTTGTAGTGTGCGCTTAGTTGGCTTGTGGCATGTGGGATCTTCCCAGACCAGGGATTGAACTGGTGTCTTCTGCATTGCAAGGCAGATTCTTAACCACTGGACCACCAGGGAAGCCCTTGAACATCTGTTTTAAAAATTATTATTGTAAACCATGATAGGCAGAATTCTAAAATGAGTCCCCATGATCTCAGCTCTTGTCTAAACCCTCCCCTGGCAGGTGGGATGGGCCTTGTGACCAAGATATCACTCCCTGACTTATGTTCCACCATATGGCCCAGGTTTGATCCCTGAATCAGGATGATCCCCTGGAGAAGGAAATGGCAAATCACTCTAGTATTCTTTGCCTAGAGAATCCCATGGACAGAGGAGCCTGGTGTGCTACAGTCCATGGGATCACAAAGAGTTGGGTATGACTGAAGTGACTTGGGACAGATATGGCAAGAGGAATTTGCAAATGTAATCAGGATTCAAAACCAGCCAGTTCTGAGTTAATCAAAGGGGAGATTATCTTGGATGGATCTGACCTTATCAGACCAGCCTTTTACTATTGGGGAGTTTCTCTCCCAGGTCTGGGAGGAAGAAAACAAGACAGCTGGGTTGTGAATTGCACATGAAAAGGGGCAGCCCCTAGGAATTGAGAGTGGTATAGGCTAACAGCTAGCAAGAAAATGGGGACACAGTCATATACCACAAGGAAATGGGTTGTGCCAACAATCTGAATGAGCTTAGGCCCATGCCGGAGCCTGCCGGCAAACGAACTGGTTGAGAACACAATTACCAGAGTACCTAGGAAATAAGACTCAGAAAGATGGGGTTGAGAGGGATGGAGTCAGCTTGCGTCTGATTCGGACAACTTTATTGAAGAATACCACACCTATATATATTCTAACAGGAGTTACTAATAGATCAAAGGTTTGCATATGTGCATTGCTACAGGCACAGATGTTTTAAATTCCTCCACTTAAGATCAGTAAAGCATCACCCTAGCGCCCAACATGATTAAGATCAATAGAACATTAACTAGATAGAAAACAGGCTTCAAGCACGACGAGTTTATCAGCACCAGGAAAACAGGCGAAAGGTCACCGGGGTGTTTTTTCCCTGAAGGGGACAAATGCCAGTCTATACTTTAACAAGAAGGGGTGGCAGGACAAAGAGAG